CATAAGACCTCCATAAAACGCTTATATGACCCCCATATGGGCCTACCTTGCGCCAACCTTCCGACAACATTGCGCCAACCTTGAGCCAAATTTTTTAGAATAATTCAAAAACTAAAAGCGCAATCGACACCATCTTCGAACTCGATCTGTATAACATAAATACGAATATTTCTAGCCCAGATTCGATTGATTCAGATAATTATTTTTGAAGTTATCATGAAAAAACGGAATTGGTCACATACACACATACACACGCACATACATACATACATACATACGGACAGGGTCCAAAAACATCAGATTCGGACTCCTGACCCCCAAATTAATCATCTTCACGAAGAAAACTGGAAACCTAAATTCAGAGGAATACAATGCTTCCATTCGGAAGCAAAACCACTGAAAATCAGAATTTCTGCGGGCGTAATAGTGAACTGCGACAACGTAGCCCTGCCGATCGGGTGGGGATAAGCGCGGTAAATTTAAACGTGTCGAAAAGAGAGTTGTGGATAAATTGATCTCTGAATAAAAGGAAGAAGGTCGAACATTGTACGTCGGATATGGGGCCTAAACCGAAAATCTCATATAAAAAGGAGATGTCACATGTTTTTTCCTAAATATCTGAAAGAGAAGTCGCATACATGATGATGATGATACTGATTTTGGTGATGATACTGATGTTGGTGTTGATGATTTCCAACGGAGAATGTATTGATTCTCAATTGAAGTTTTCATGGATTTCGACGAATTTTTTAAAGGTCTTTTAATAGCAGTTTCGATAGATTACACAGTCCTACAAAATTTGAACTTGTTCTGGCACAGGGATGAGACTGCCACCATTTGAAAGATTTTTTCGAAATGCCCTAGTTTCTGAGAAAAAAAATGGAAAATCCTGAAATTGCCCCAAAATCGTCTTTTTCAATATTTAATTAGAAAACAATGTGTTCGGTTTTCCACCGAATATCTATTCCTCACACACACGCACACTCACTCTCTCCTCTCGCATGCTTGCATGGCTTCGCACGACTGACCTGCGCAATCGCCTCAAATGACAAGTGGCCTCTCAGCTTTGACACCTGAGGCGCCACTTGATGGACAGGTGTCCAGTGAACACCCCCATTTAAATTGGGGCACGTTTGGACCTGCGATGATCGGCACCTGCCACCTTGCGGTCCTTTAATCGGCCTCATTTGCATTTCGGCCGTCGTACAGTGTACTTTGACTTTCTCCGAATTGCTCTATTGTTTGTACTGAGTTCCGCGTATAATTGCTCTGCGTTATAAGTTCTGTGAACTATTTAATAATATTGTGACCGGCGCTATTTTTTCGACCATCTCGATAATTATAATTAAACCACCACGTGTAAATGTTGACTTTATCTTAATTAAACTGACTGTGTTTGACCAACGAGCACTTGTTTTGATTTTTGGACCTTCTCGCGCTCCTGTTAAAATCCATTTATATCTCGCTCATCGCTCGCTCATTCCACCAATCTCAGACCTGGCATCGAACACAATGTTTGTCTCGATTGAGCTAAAAAAATACCAACAAAAAGACAGGAAATTATACTTCCACACTGATAGAATGATTCATTTATTCCAAACGAGATTCGTTAACTATTAACGAATGGTAGAGTTGAATATGACCAAATGAATATTCGTTAAATAGTTAACGAATGGTTCACTTGAATGGCGAAAGTCAACTCAAACAAGGCTCCTCAAATATACATTCGTTAACTATTAACGAATGAACATTTGGTGGGACCGAATAGACCCTAACCTCCAACCAAAACCCATTCGTTAACAATAACTAATCCGTTCTATCAGTGCAGATGACGTGGAGTTGTTTTCATTAGGCGCAGGGGATTATTCATAATAAATTCCGTAGTTCTTTATTAAAATTGCAGTTATTTTTCAAACGAATGTCATGGCGGCAATTATCTGAAGGTGCATCTCCACGTGGAATTTCAACCGCCAGATTTGAGGGTTACTATTTATCTATTTAATTTCACAAAGATAAGTGTATTTAAGAGAATGGAACCGAATATATCACTGGCGGAAAAGAGGATTCTGATTTCTCTCGTCGAGAATGAACCAAGCCTTTGGCAAAACGGTTTATGGAGGTACTGCAATGAAAATAAATGTAATTAAATTTTAACCCTCAAATCTGGCGGTGAAAATCCCACATGGGAATGCAACTTCAGACTATGGCTGCCATGACATTCTTTTGAAAAATAACTGCAATTTTATTGAAGAAATACGGAATTTATTACGAATAATTCCCTGCTCCTAATGAAAATAACTCCACTTTATCTGGAAGTATAATTTCCGTTTTTTTTGTTGGCATTTTTTTCAGCTCAATCGAGACAAACATTGTTTTCTAAATTTTGAAAAAGACGATTTTGGGGCATTTTCAGGATTTTAACATTTTTTTTCTCAGAAACCAGGGTATTTCGAGAGATTTGGCCAACGGATTTGGCAAAAAAATCTTTCAAATAGTGACAGTCTCATCCCTGTGCTAGAATAAGTTCAAATTTTGTAGGACTGTGTTACTACAGAAAATCCTTCTCTTTCGATGCACATTTTCATACAGGGAGAGAAATGTTCAGTAAAAATTAACTGACAATTTGCTCACCGTTTACGGAATCGACTCAGAAAATTTAAGTGACGGAATCGTAAATTTTTAACACGAGATCAGATAAAAATTACGAAATGCTCTGGAAATATTCCATGACAGTTCCGTGAAATTTCCTACAACCACATTTCGCTCCGGAATTACGGAAAAGATACGTAATTTTATTAAATATTTTTCTACGTGTAGCTGTCGTCGTGTCTTCTATTGATTCTTGATGGAAATTTCCATCCCTTTGCAATAAAAAAAAATCATGTATTTTCAATGGAAGGTTGCATCGCTTGCTACGAATTTCTCGTTAGTAATGCTATCGAAACTCGTATACGTGAACTAACATATCGATTCCAATCAACTTAAATAATAACGTGATGAATCATATAAAATCCATCAAATTATAAGGCGCGCGGAGCGCGCCTTCGATCTCGTTTCAAATAAATCATAGAGGTCGCAGCAGTTGCGAACGATCAGACACAGACGCGGTGTAGAAAGAACTTTAGAATGGTATTAGTGATTTGCTGAGATCAAGTGGAAATAAGAGATGTATTTTTCATTTGTATTTGAACATTTGAAGGAAGTTTCGTATTTTCGTGAACGAATAATTCCTTAGGGTCATTATTGTCAAACTTCTTCCATAAAATAAGAGCATAACAAGAGGATAAATTGGATTTGAAGGCAGAATCAACAAATACATTAATGCATGCGAAATTTTGTGTTCGTGAATGGGTCATCGTCAATCCAAGAAAAATGAACTGCTTCCGAATTAAGCACAAGAAGAACTAGACGAGCATCGTCCCTTTGTATGCTCCATTTTGACACTACGACTAGACTGATTTCTATATTAATGTAGCATTCGATTACCGTGGAGGTACCAGTACTCATACGATTAAGAATTCTCAGATTGTAAAGTACATGTTTTGAGTAGTTTACACGATCAATGGCGAGAAAAATGAGTTAATAGTAAGCCTGAATGTTTTAGAGATAGGAAAAAGTTGATTTCGGATGAAATTTATACACTTGTAAATTATTATATAAGAAAATAAAGCAGTCGGTCGAAGTCAGTACTGATACAACTCAACCCTCGATGACACAGTACTCGAACGACCAGAGCCCCAGAAGTGGTACGGTGAGGCTACCTATGGTCCAGAATGAAGTTCTTATGATTTGTTCTACGTTTTTACTCAATTACCAGTACGGTAATCCAGTAAATGGTCAATACATTATTCTTTAGTAAATATATTTTACTTAAGATACAAATTCAATAAAATCACTCCCCAAATAATTTTAAAAGAGTGGATATTGTCCGTGTATTGTAGAATCTCGTTATAACTACAAAGTTATCGGAAATGCAAACAATTTGGTATTGAATTAAATAATTATATCTCAATCGGTTGAGTGCTCTTGCCCACGGGCCAGGGCAGACTTCAATTTTTCATTAATGCTCAAGACATCATTTTTTTGAAAAAAAAGATCATTAAGCGTGAAAAACTCGTTTGACAAATGAAGTTGTATAGACTGTTCGAGGACATTTGACTTTTTACGGTATCAGTACTCGAACACCGACTTTTCAATTATTACACATGTTTCCTCCACTAATTACATGTTGTAATCACTTTTTCAGTCCTTTTCTTCAGAATAAATCATAATTTTATTGGGATTATTACTTAGTTTTCATTTTTGACACGATACACCGATCAACGCCCCTAACCTAAACGGTCGACAAATCGTGCCAGGAGGTGTCCTGTCAGCGCAATCCGTTACTAAATTCAAGTTGAAGAACGATTATCTATTCAAATATTGAAAATTAAGCTTGGGTCGTATAAATTGGAATTTTTTTCTTTCTACCAGTATTGAAGTAAGGATGAAAAAGTTATAAATATTATATTGAAACTTGAAAATAACGAGGAAAAAGTGCCTCGCGTACGAGTACCTACACCTGTACGAGTACTGCGACCTCCACGGTAACGCTAGATCATCGCTGGTGCGATGCTGACTTCGTAGTATCTGGAAACCTTGAATATGAAGCGCCATATTCCATGGATGATTCCAGGTTCGAAACTAATAAATCAAAATGTTTTGTTCACTCGATGTTCCAGAATTTGCTTTGGAATAAAATTAGTCATTTTTAAACAATTAAATATTCTCAAGCACAACATATGTAACATACATTTTTATTAAATATATGCGGGCGATCCATAGTTGGGTCCTCCACTTCGTTCAAAAATCGGAAAAATAACCTCAGTATATATCAACACTCTCTCACAAACATTCAATTTTTTTAATACGTACACTCAGAAATATACAATTGCATGAAGATATCATTACAACAATAGTACGACCAAATGGTGAAAAAAACAGTTGAGTATCAAATTAAACTATTGATTGTCCTCAAATTTGTGAAGCATGATACGTAGCATAGCGCAGAAGGAATATACTGCAGAAATATACTAGAATAAAAACGAATTATTCTCTCCATTGCCCACTCTTCCGTTTTTCTCATTTAAATCATAAAGATTGCTGGACCTTTGTATAATACTCCATGGATAATTCCGGCATTAATCCACCGATCGTTATCTTTGGTGGATGTTGACACTTGTGCATTACGAACATTGCAGCCCTATTAAATTCCTTCGAATAATGAATCCAGGAACAATTGTACAACGCCCAACTCACTCCTGTAATTGCTCTGGATAATCCCAAAAAAAGATGAATAACGTCAATGTTAAATAAGCAGATGAATTATATTAGCAGGATAACTTACCGCTGCGGTTAAATTTTCTACGGCCCATGTGACACCAAGTAGCGGCAAGGCGTACACAATTTGTATCAAAGCATACTGAGGTCTTTTAAGGACTGGTCCATTCTACGAGAGCGAAATCATTACGTAATGTACGATCATCCGTAATATACGGATACTTACTCCAACTATATGAATTCCTCAACATGCAATGCATGTCGTTGTTATTCCGAGCATCACTGCTACCACAGGCCGTACGATTTCAATGGTTTCTTCAATATACCTTGCAAAAGGAACAGTATAACACTAATCATAAGTTTAAAATTATATCCTAGAAAATAGAGATCGCAGTCATCAACGCTGTCATTCCACTCAGCCTACCATCGTTAGGCCACTAAACATAATTCAAATTTTTGACAGCGAAAAATCCCGAAGCCCCAGTTAGGAATCAAACGAGTTTTTCCAGTATTGTTCCATCTGAGCTGCCAGAATTAACGACGATTTTTTGCTATCGAATTTGAGTTGTACGTGGATAACAAGCATTCAGAAAATGACCCGATGTATAGACTCCTTTAAAAATCTATTGGAATTAAAAAATTGATTGTTCACCATAATATATGTTGATGTACAGAGATGCACTTCGTCAGTTCTTGAGAACTGGTTACGTGCTCAATTTTCTCAGCGAGAAATCCCAGTTGAATTGTTCCATACCAAAGAAGCAGACACAATTGACAAACGAGGGCGGCACTGCAGCCGGCTTGAATTCCTCCCATTGCTTCAAATATGGCAACTATATCATAAACGGGATGTTCATCCACAGAAAAGGGAAATTCAGCTGAATTCTGTAATGGCTGATCGATAATGAACGGACCAAATATATAAGCCAAAACTGCACCGTAAATCATAATATTATATGGAAAATAAAAAGGAGCAACTCGCTTCACGTAACGCGTTAATACTTGTCGTTCGTGGGGATTTTCATTTTTCACGAAAGTCTCCATCTCTTCAATTAGATACTGTGGAATTAATGATATATTAAATGTGAATTAATTAGTGCTCTTCAACGGAAGAAATTATTTCATTGAGATTGATTTTTTTCTGAGGCCAGTGCTCACCTGAAAACGATGATGATTTTGCTTTGTAATGATTAATCTCAACACAATTTGGATGAAATATAATCCAGTAGATAAACATTCAGTGACTCTGATGAAATTGCTCCGGTGTTGATATGCCGTGCTTACTAGTGAGAGAGCGTTTGCTGCGGCGACCAGCAAAGAAATCCACCAACATATTTTAAAAATAATCGTAAGTCGTGTTGATTTTGAATTTGGAGGCCACATGAACATAAAATAAGTTGAGAGTTTAATCCACTGAATTACAAACTCTGGAGTTGATTGTTTACTTATGGTCATGCTGCGGCTGAAATCGAAATGCGTTCCAAACGAATGAGTTCCAAGTATTTGTAATCATCGAAATTACGAACAATTAGTGCGTAGCAGGGCGAAATAGATAACTTATGCGAATATGAGTTTTAAAGTTCATAAGGTCATTAAGGTCAACTGAAAACCATGACGACAGCTATGAGGGTCATGAAAACACTAATAATAATGAAAGAATAGTCGAGAATTAATATATAGGGCATTCCGCGTGAACTCGGGGGTTTTTAAACCTTATGGTCTTGGATTTGGCTCGAGATAGCTTTGACCATTCGCCAAGTAACTAAAACATGCCGTATACTTTTTGCAAGTTATGTGAACAAGAGTTTCGCCAAAATTGAATTTCAATTTTTTTTTATTTTGGCCGCAAATTCCAGCTTCTGATGATGAGTGACGTAAAAAATTGTAAATAAATATTTTTTGTCTTGAAACGGAATCAGAAAAGAATTTTTTTATTAAATGGTACTTGGACACTGAGAATATAAAAACTGAAATTCACCCCACAAAGCTCTCATTGTTAAAGAAAGTCCATTTCCAATTTCAATGAAGTATATACCATATGTAATCTGTTATGGTTTACGATTATTTTTACACCTATTGTATTATTAGCTCTCAAGAAACAATTTCTTTTCAATAAATTTCTGAAAAAATTGCTTGAAAATTTAAGCTCTTTTGAGTTGTAATTCTAATATATATATTTTTCATGTGTATTTGGATCTTTCTCTGAATAATTATAAGAAAATTGCAGAAACTAATAACTGCAGGATGAATTGTTAAAGTCCTCAGCCAAATCCAAGGTTAAGTTTGATACCTCGTGAATTTACATGGAATGCCTCGTATATTCATTGCATGAACTTGACATACGCTCTAGCAACTCTCACGACAGTTATCAATCTTATGAAAATGATGAACTTTCTGAACCTGGTTGTGACCCTTACCTGGGGATCCTGAAGAGATCCAAAAAGAGTTTTCTCAAAGAAATCATCATATGATTTCAGTAAATACAAGAACTTCACTGATTATCCACTAATTGCGTTGATTTCATTATGACTATACTTTGACTATACAAGCGAGTGACACCCTGATGACGGATGTGAATAAGTCTTTGCTATCAGGCCCAATGCTGCGATACGTATGAAATGTTTTCGTCGAAATTTTAGGCCTCGATTCTTCATTTTATATCAATAATATGTATGAAATGGAACCGAATGAGAACCCTCTTAATGAACCCTCTCAACGGAACGAAGTTTTTCCGTTGACTCCTCTAAAATTTAATCACTTAATATATGCTTTCAGTATGATGTATAGTTTCCATTTCCTGCATTTTTCGAATATAACAGGCATTATGGACTTATTTAAGCATGCTCATTACCTTTCTTACAAGCGAATTGGGGTTACGATGGTAATCGAGACATAAACCATCATCAACTGAAATGATAATATTAGAATAATCAAACATCATTAGTCAATCATTTTTATGATTCATTATTCTCTAATTACTCACTTCTGAGACATATAGCACTAAAAACGCTGATCACTTGACGAATATTATCACTCCGACTCAGTTTTGAATTTACAACCCTTCTATTACTTAATTCCAAGCTTTAATCGCTAGTCCATTGCGCAATTTATATAATTGTTTATGTGAATCATTCATGTGAACTCTAGTCCATATTTATTTGTCAATCATTCAATTTGCAAGAATAATTCCCCATAATTTCTGTTTTATCGATTACCAATCCTTTCTTTGTCCTTGAGGTGCAGATAGAATTAGAATTAGATAAATCTAGCCCACTAACCCTTGTGGCTTTCACTGGGCTTATAAGGCTGCCAATTTTGGATCGGCTGGTGGCATGAAAACCTAGCATCAGTTCTTACATTGACGGGTAGCTAATAGGGGGCACTCATGTAGAATACGTGCGGTATCCTCCCTTCCCCTCGCCACATACCCCATATACGTACATTAAAGAAAGGAATTTATATAGCATTCCACATCTTTGTGACGTCATAGAAAATGATTGGATGGGATTTGGATGAGGTAGGAGGGGAACCGGGATTATTCTCAATATATATAACCAGAAAATTTTTACCGAAAAAAATGGCCTGCAAGTTTTTTGATCTGTTAGTTTCATTTTAGACAGGCGAAAATAATCTCTGTAAGTCGTGTTGTTTTCGGTCTTGGAGGCCGAACTCTGGAGTGTTCTTTACCCATAATAATGCTGGTGCTGAAATTAATGTGAGTTTCAGGAATTTCATTGATTACATCTTATGACCAGGTATCTGTCATCATTGAAATCTTGCACAATTAATGCTGTGCATGAGGTTGGACATACACTGCAATAAATATCAAGACAGTCACCAATCTTATGAATCTAATGAACATCCATTCTGCACCTGATTGGGAAGCTGATGGAGGTCCTGAACGATTTCAAGAAAAGTATTTTCAAAGAAATCATCATATGATTCGAGCGATTACAATAACTTCACTGATTACTGACCAACTACGTTAAGTTCGCTATAGATACGTTTTGATTAAACTACCGAGTGATATCCTGTTCACGAGTATGAGCTACACCTTGCGAGAGAGTCTAATGCTTTGACCCACAAGGAATGTTTTCATCGAAACTCTTGACCTTAATTATTCCTTTTGTCTCGATAATATATATGAGATGGAGCTAAGTGAGAATCTTCTTAATGAGACGTCATAACTTTTGCGATACGTCACTCTCTATGACTTCTATAATTTACGTACTGGAAATTAATATATGAGGTACTCCACGTCAAATAAGTCAATCGCTGGCCTTCACCCTCTTGGAAATTAATGGCGATTTTTTCTACGATCGGGGATGTTGAAAAACTATATCTCAAATTTTTTCAGATTTTTTCGGCAGCCCAGTCCGGAGATGTGATTTTTTCACATTTTTCCGTTTTTTCCAATAACTCGAATTCTATTTGCCCGATTTTGATTTATTAAGCGTCAAAATTTTCCATTTTCTACCGCCTATACGATTATTTTTAGTAATTTTTTTTTCAATTCCTAGACGTTCGTAATAACGAATTTCGTAAAAAAGAAGTTGAAAAACTTGAATTTTGCAAATTACGTCACGGTTGATATTCAACTTTTTTTTTCAGTAATTCTCATAATCAAAACAAGTATTTTGAGCTGTCATTCGAGTTGGGCATCCTTCTGGATCTATGTTATTTTTAATTTTTTCTTTTGGAAATTTCGCAAATTTGGTCAAAACACCACAAAACGACTTCGACTATGTATCGAAAAAATATGTAATTTATAGGTATACAATCAAATTCACTTCATACTGTCTATAATCAAAGTCAATCAACGCCATTTTGAGGTGTTTCCAAATGAGAACTAACAAACTTGCTGACAAGCTTGCTGACTCCTGCATGATTTGTCTGATTTTACTTGGCCATTCTTGATCACCAAGATTAACTCGACTGCCAGCGATGATTGACTCGCTCAACAGCCAGTTGTACTCGCATGACGAATGTGAATAAGTCCACGCTCTGAAGTATAATCTTGTTATAAACACGAAATGGTTTCGTCAAAATCTTTGATTTCGATACGTTAATTTGGATCAATAGTCTATTCTACTCAATAAGCCCAGCTTAAATGGTCCTAATGACATATGATCATGAGCGCCTCTAAATCAGGACCATATGATGAATGATCTTATCTGGAATTTGAGGGACTGGAAGTTAATAGACATTAAGAAAAATCATTGAGTCTTTGTACGAGACACTGTTACGAATCCTGTCGAAATCGTGAGTCTGTCAAAGATTTTTCTCATCATGTAACCCTGGTGTCAAGTCGTAACGCATCGCGAACATGCGTAATATAACTTTTGTTTGTCTCAGTGATCGTACTTATCATCCTTCGTGGACAAAATATGTGTTTATTCATCGCGTTTTGTTGACTCAACGAGTACATCATCGCCCTTTCGGGGCATTACAAGCAATTCATCGACACTCAAGATGAGAAGTGATTCACCAACCCTTTCCTGAGTTATTCAATAGTGTTTGCAAAAGTGATTCCATAAGTCAGCAGTTAATTATTGATAAGCTGATATATGTATGAGGATATATCGACATGTATTTCATCGAGTAATTCAGTATCAATTATTCTAATTTATTGGCTGTAAATGCAGAGTCAGTTATCATTTTGTACAACTAAACCAACGTGTTATTCATTCGGTAAAATCAACGAGAAAATATCAACTATTAATCAAATATTATTCGTAAAAACTCAATCAGCGAAACTCATCAGAATTATTACGAACAATGTTCTTATTACTTGATGAATTTCGACCATCATTCAATTATTATTAATAGATTATCCCCATTTTGGACTACATTCGGTTGTATATAAATACGTTTTGAAGGATGGATGCTATATGCCATCCTCTCACCTTCAATGTTTCTATATAAAACAACTAATGAAGCTAACCTAAGCTTGTAAGGATTTGAATCTATTTCCATAATACAATACCTTGTGACGTCCGTCGAAAAATGCATTAAAATACATTTTTCCTAAATAATTTTCTTTACAAAAGTTCAAATGGACAATAGCAGAATCAATTCTGAGTATCGAATATTAACAATCACAAGGGTCAAATGTGGAAACCATATATTCGAAGAATAATAGAAATGAAAATGAAGAGACGACACCTATTAATCAAAAACTAGAATATAATCATGTAACAATTAAAACCGTGAATTGTTAGATTAATTTATTTATCTTTAAGAGATAAGAATCCTCAAAATTAAGAATTCAATAATTATACTAAAACAAATTCTATCCATAAATGAAGAGTACAATATTCTATTCAATTTATCATGATGATATTAGAAAAATTAGAACTGGCAAGCGAGTGGCCTCGTCAAATTATTGATCCATTCCAAGATAACGACAAGGGGGCGAATCTTCAGACAAACGCTTTNTTCTATCCATAAATGAAGAGTACAATATTCTATTCAATTTATCATGATGATATTAGAAAAATTAGAACTGGCAAGCGAGTGGCCTCGTCAAATTATTGATCCATTCCAAGATAACGACAAGGGGGCGAATCTTCAGACAAACGCTTTCCTTCGAATAATCGCGGCGCCCCCAAAGCCATTATCATACTTTGGAGAACGATCGGCACCATACCGGGGGACAGATACCTTATGAGAATCGGACACGTGGCGAACCGATAAAGTTATAGAAATAAGAGTCTCGAACAACCAGCACCGAGATAGCCACGTTGTCACGAGGGGAGACTCACCATACGTCGAAGCTCGAGGGAGTTCTACAATTATAAAAATCTTACGTGGACTAACACCAAAAAAATAAGAAAATACTTGGTCATCAGGGTAACACCCCATGCATCATGGTCAAATCAAGGATATATAAGGGCTCCTCGAGGGCACCGAATTCAGTTACCAGTACACGTCCATCATCTACAAGTCACCAGTCGTCAAAGTTGTCGTAACTCCGAAAATCGACTTGCACTTCAGCCGTTGGCTTGTGCATTTACTTTTGAGATTTCAACCTCAAAAGTCTACACTATGATATCATCATTATATTCTTCGATAATCTCAAAGTAATACGTAGAGTTTTTCATAACATTACTTTCTATAAAAAGTCTTTCATGACTCAATTTCAAATTAAAAAGAATCTTTTATGATTCTTTCTTTAAAAAATACTCATACATCTTATCGATAGAATTTGGAAAATAATCATCTTCATTCAAAATAATTGAAACGATACGAAAACATTTTTGAAACAATTGTCAATCGATATCGTAAGTGTCACCGATCAACGAAACAATTCATGTAAGTCAAAAATCATTAGTTACTAAGATTGTAAACTTACTCTTACTGATGAAAATATAAAGTGTTAAAATCATTTTGAATTTAAACCTTGTGAATCCTTTTCGAAATTATCCTCTCGACAGATTAGAAAGACAACGAGTAAATAAGAGAACATTCAAGTGCTATTTGCAAATTTCCCAATAATTGACCTTCTATCAATTCGATTTGAAACTCCAACTATGTATCTTTCGAGATATTTCCATTTTGAGATTAAAACATTCGACTCTAAAAATTATTTCATCAAAAAGTTTTTCATACATTTTCATGTCAGTTTTTCATGGCTGACATACAGTGTTATTGAAGAAAGGTTTCGTCCATTCTGACATGACAACCTATTGCATCATGTAGGTAGGGAGGGGGTCGATGCCACAGCACTAGACTTATTGGTTCCTGAACGTATTTACAGATAACCGAATATGGCTCAAATTTATCATGATCGGTTAATAATCATCCTTACGAAATAGTTATTCAGACATTTATTGAGGGTCGATTTCGGCGAGCCTCGTCTCTCACTTACCGCCGTCTCATGCTACAAACTTCACACGCCTCGCAAATCTCGGCCTATCAGCCTTATGAGATAATCTACTATTTTATTTATCCGGATTCGTATCAACTTGAAATTGCTAGGCACATCTGCACTTAGCGTCTCTTCTGTCGTATAATAATAGTTTTTTATCTTTCTCAATAATGATTAATAAAACGAGGAATAAGAACAGAGTTTATGATAGTCAAATGAAAAGACTATCTTGTTATGTAGATCAAATTTCATATTATTTATTGGATGGATGTGTCCTCTGCATTGGTTAACCAGTACTCTTCATACGTGATAATAACAAGTACTTTTGCATTTCGTCAGCCGATTCAAGGGTATTGATCATTATAATGGTGTGCGTAATTGTGATCATTAATTATTCCGATATACTCAAAAACTCGCGTAAGCGCTGGGCAGCGAAATTAACTGATTCTGGATCAAGTACACGAAGAACTCAAGGAGCATCACCCCTTTGTACGCTCGATTTTGATGCTGGGACGTGACTGATTTCCATATTAATTTAGCGTTCGATTAAAGCCATATCGCTGTTGGTGCGATGGTGACTTTGCATTATATGGAAACTTTGAATATTGAGCGCCTCTTTTCAGGGATGAAACGCCGTTCCAGTCTGGTAAATTTAAGTGTTTTAGGCACTTGATTTCCCAAAATTTTGATTGGAATAAAATTAATCATTTTTAATTAATCAAATATTTTCAAGCACAACATATATAACATATATTTTCATTAACTGTGTACATATAATTCACGCAATCAATAATTTCTATGCGGGTGATACATAGCTGGCGCTTCTAATTGGTTCAAAAATCAGAAAATAACCCCATTATATATCAACAGTCTCTCACAAAAATTAAATTCTTTTTTCTTCTACATACACTATTACGTACACAATTTCATGAAGATATCATTAATTACAATAATAGCGCGATCACGTTGCGACCAATCCACTTGGATGTCAAATTAAGCTATCGATTCTCCCCAAATTTCTCAAGCATAAAATGTAACATAGCGAAGAAGGAATATCCTGCAGACATATACTAGAATAAAAACCAATGATTCTCACTATTGTCTACTCTTCCTTTTTTAACACTCTAATCATAAAGCTTGCTGTACCTTTGCATAATACTCCACGGATAATTTCGGCATTAATCCACCGATCACTATTTTTGGGGAATGCTGACACTTGTGCATCACGACAATTGCAGCCGTATTCAATTTCTTCGAATTTCGAATCCAGGAAGAGCTGTACAACGCCCAATTCACTCCTTCACTCTGGATAATCACAAAAAAAGATTAATAACGTCAATTTTAAATAAGTAGATGAATTATGTTAGGAGGATGACTTACCACTGCGATTAAATTCTCTGCGGCCCATGCAATACCAAGTAATGGTGAAGCGTACGCAATTTGTATCAAAGTATATTGAAGTTTTTTAAGGACTGGCCCATTCTACGGGGATGGAAATCATTATATCCTTGTTACAAGATTATCCATCTTATTTGCATACTTACTCCAACTATATGAATTTCTCCACATGCAATGGATATCGTTGTCATTGCGAGCATCACTGCTACCACAGGCCGTGCGATTTCGATGGCATCTTCGATATACCTTGAAAAAGGAACAGCATAATACCGATAAGAGGTTACTTTTTGGCGCCGTTTTTTTGGGCCGATATACTGTGGTACTAATTTTTTTTGGCGCACATACTAATTTTGGTACATATGAAAAAATGTCATTAATAATGGAACTGGACAAGGTGATGAATAACGATATAACACTATATCATAAGTTTGAAATTGTATCGCAGAAAATGGAGATCATAGTCATCAACACTGTCACATATATGTAAATTTCTTTAAAAACCATTCGAATTGAAAACATTATTATTCACCGTAAGATACGCTGATGTATAGAGATGCATTTTGCCAGTTCTTGTGAACTGGTTATGTGCTCAATTTTCTCAGCAAGAAATCCTAGTTGAATTGTTCCATACCAAAGAAGCAGATAGAATTGACATAAGAAACCGGCACCGCAACCGACTTTGGCCCCTCCTATTGCTTGCAATACGAAAACTATATCATAAACAGGATGTTCATCTACAGAAATGGGGAATTCTGCTGAATTCTGTAACGGCTGATCCATAACGAAAGGACTAAACGCATAAGTCAGAGCTGCGCCAACAGCCATAATATTATATCGGAAGTAAAATGGAGCAACTCGCTTCACGTAAGTCGTTAATACTTCTCGTTCGTGGGGTTTTGCATTCTTCACGAAAGTCTCCATGTCTTCAATTCGATACTGTGGAATGAACAATATACTGAATGTGGATCAAGCATTGCTATTTCAAGTAAATGACTATTCCATTGATGTTTATTTCCTTCTAACGCCAGTACTCACCTGACAGCGGCGATAATTATGGTTCGCAATGATCAATCTCAACACAACTTGAGTAGAACATAATCCAATAGTTAAACATTCAGTGACTCTGCTGAAATTGTTCCGATATTGGTACGCCGTGCTGAACAATGGAAGAGCGTTTGTTACAGCGACAATTGAGGCAATCCACTAACATATTTTGAAAATAATTTCCGTAAGTCGTATTGATTTTGGATTTGGAGGCCACGTGAACATAAAACAAGTTGTGAATTTAATCCACTGAATTACAAACTTTGGACTTGATTGTTTACTTATGATGTGCTGTAACTGAAATCGAAATGTGTTCTAAACAAAATGAGTTCCATGTATTTGTAATCATCAAAGTCACGTACGATTAGTGCATACTAGGACGAAATGGAAAACTTATCTGGGTGTGAGTTTTAGGGTTCATAGAGGTTGTGACGGCAGCTAAAAAACTTGAAAACAGCTATGAGGGAAATGACAACAATAATGAAAATAAAAGAATAGTCGAGAATCAATATATGGAGCATTCCATATGAACTCGTGGGTTTTCAATTCGGATTTAGCTGGAAATTGCTCCAACCATGCACCCGGGAAATATAAAATACAATATACTTTTTGAAAATTTTCCAATCAATCGTTTCTCCAAAATCGAAGCATGAAATTTTTATTTTTGGACGCAATTTCTGGCTTCTGGCTTTGGGTCACATAAAGAATTGTAAAAAATATATCTTTTTTCTTAATGATGAATAAGAAAAAAAATTTTTTTTTATTCAGTGCTGTTTGGAGACTGAGAATATAAGTACGGGAATTTTGACTACATAAACTTGATGGTTGAAAAAAGTCAAGTGCATCATTAGATCTCAAGAAGGGATTTCTTTTTGATGATTTTTTTTTTATTGAAAATTCAAACTTTTTTGAGTTGTACTTCTAATATATTTATTTTTCATGAGTATTTGGGTCATTCTATGCATAATTATAAAAAAGTTGTAGAAAATTATAATTGCAGGATGAATTGTTGGAGTCCTCCTCAACCATATCCAAGACCATCAAGTTTGAGATCCCATGATTGCACATGGAATGCCCCATATATCCATTTCATAAGGTTGACATGCACTCCGGTAACTGTCACGATAGTTACTAATCTTCTGAATCTAATGAATGTTCTGAACCTGATCGTGAGTTTTACGGGAATCTTGAGGAATTCCAAAAACAATTTTCTAAAAGAGATCATTATATGATTCCACTCAATACAATAATTTTTCTGATTATCTACTAACCATGCTCGCTTCACTGTGAGTACACTTTGACTACACGACCGATTGACGCCCTGATGACAAATGTGAACAGCCCCTTGCTAGAAGGTCTAATGATTTGACGCACAAGGAATGGTTTCGTCGAAACTCTTGACCTTGGTTCCTTATTTTGTATCAATAATATATGTAAAATGAAGTTAAATGAGAACCATGTCAATGAACCTGCCTAGCTGAATGAAATTCTCTTACCCGGGTAGAAATTCAACCGGGGATTCAGCCGCAACTCGGGTGAGCGCGAGCTCAGCCTCGGCTTGCCGCTTGACCCGAGTTCACGCCGCGACACGCCGCTCCATACCGGCTCACAGTCGAACGCTCATCAGACGGCATAACCCGGCATTTGAGTTTGAGCTGTGGCTCAACGCTTAGAAGTCGGCTCCGATTGAGTCGTGTCGTTTCGAGTGGAGGGTGGAATAGAATGATATTTATGCATTTTTAGAATATCGATTTAAAATTTGAATACTTTGGAAAATCCTTGTCTTCTTACTATAAAAAAAATGGAATTATACTGAACTTTCTATAAAATTTGAAATTTACTGATTTTTCCCTCTGTCATCGAATATAAAACCTGGCACTTTCTCTAAGAATTCCTATTGAATTTCTGTTGGAGCTCTATGAGAATTCTATTTAAGTTTTATTGCAATTCTATTGAAAAATTCTATTTTTTTTGCGTCAATTCCATTGAAAATTATGCAACTTTCCCCTGCATTTTTAATAGATATTTGTTTGTAGAAAAAAATCCATTGATTTTTCTAGATAATTTATTCTGTTAGGATTTCTTCCACAGAAACTATTGGGCATGAATTTTCCAAGTTTTGTTCCTGCATTTGATTAAAAGAAAAGAAGAAAAACCGAGCGGAAAAAACTTAGAAATCTTACGCCTAAGAAAATCTATAGGAACATAAAAAACTATTTACTTTCTTGCACCCCATTTTACCTTAACAAAAAGACTATGAAGTTGCATAATCTCGCCTATAGAATCGGCGCAAGAAACGAATAGAATTCTAATAGAACTTCCAGAGAATTCTCATAGAATTCCAATAGAAATTTAATAGAAAGCGCTAGGTTTTTTTATTGAATTTGTTCATGCGTGTTATTTTGGCATACCTGTATTCAACATTTCCCTAATAAATCGTAGAATATTCTTAGAACTCGTAGGCCTATCGAAAAATGAAGAATATCCTCTCCTGTAGCGTTGATAATTAATAATAAAGGTTCGTTAACGTTTTTCAAGTGATTATTTTTCTTGATTTTGTTTGTTGTATTCGCGAGAAAAAAGAAAGTTTTGACTACGTTTCAGTGAATTGTTCTACCTTGTATTTTCAGATTAATCCCATTCGATTAGTTAATATCACGTTATTTCTGATGAGCTTGTGATTGTTCATCTGAAAAAGCATGCCATCTTCACATTTATTCGATTGTTTTTTCGCTCAAATCACGATGCCATCGGACCTGTCAAATCATTATTGAGGTTAAGTATACTGGGATTGAGTAATTGGAGATGAACCTGAGGTTGAGCAGTGGCCATTCAACTAAAGCCCGGCGAAGCGTTTCGCGTAATAGTCTAACGCTGGGCTGTGAGCGCGTGACGCGGCTCAACCTCGGGTACATGTGACGCGCGTGGAGTTTATCCCAAGCTGGGGCGGAGTGGCGTATTTCTAGCTGGGATACGGGTTCCGAGCCGAGCTCGAGCGGCGTAATTTCTACCCGGGTAATGACCCCTTTATAATTTATTCATTAATTCGTAATTAGCTGATATAGTAACTCTAAACTGTAAGTTTGACTGAAAAAGCCAAACATGTTAGTCTTTTATAGTCATGTTTATATGTTAGTCTTGAAGTATATTGGCATAATTTAAAGTCGGAACCTGGTTGCTATAAATGAATTTTTGAGCTAACACACTTAGTTACATGAATGCTCATGTAAATGTATAGGACTTCCCATTCTGCGCTTTTCCCTCCAAAAGCAATTTTTTTTATTTCACTTATGAGGTGTCCATATAAATTCAACGTGTAGTGAAGCACTTATTCTTATTGTATCAAGCATCATCAGCACTTAGCATTACCCAAGGTTCGCGGCGGGGACGCACCTGGTATGAACCCTACAAACGCCACAATTATGGGCCCGATCACCCCTTTCAAGTTATTTACCTAGTTGAGTCCGACTCAATTTTTTGTTGATTTCAATTCTTATTGTTGTTAAATGACAAAATAATTCAGTTTCCTCGGAAAATTCTTTGGAGTTGTTGTATCTACCAATTACTCATTACTTTTTCAATCATTAAATTTGCTACTATATTTCTCCAGAATTTCTATTCTACCGATTATCATTCATTCGTTTTTAAAGGGGTGCAGATAGAATTGAAATGAGATCAACATGGCCAGTCAATTTTTTGCTCAGTCACCTAAACCTTATGATCTTTTGTAGTACCCGTCATTGTTTGGTCAGTCAACCAACTCTAGGCCTGTGGCTGCCACTAGTCTTACGAAGCTGCAACACTTTTCAGATCGGCTAATGCTATGATATCGTGGCCCAGTGGCCCTCGACCGATGGCTAGTCGGGGGCATTCGCATTGAAAATAAACGACAATCCTCTTAATGAACCCTCGAAAATCTAATCACTTAATATGTGCTTTCAGCATGATTTCGTATAGTCTTTATTCCTTGCATTTTTCGAATATAAAAGCCATTTGTGATTTGTTTAGACATAGTCATTACTTTTATCCGAAGCGGGTTACGATTGAGATTACGCTGATCACCGGGACATGAACCATCATGAATGAAAATGATAGTAGAATAGTCAAACACCATTTTTCAATAATTTCTAGAATTCATTGTTCTCTAAATGACTCACTGCTGAGACATAACGCTAAAAAACGACGATCACTTGACGAATATTACCACTTCGACTCAGTTTTGAATTCACAACCCTACTATTACGTCATTCAAAGCTTTAATCACTAGTATATTGCGTAATTTTTATCATTATTTCCGTGAACCATTCACGTGAACTCTATTCCAAATTTATACTTCAATTATTCAGTTTGTAAAAATAATTCTCCATGATTTTTATTTTATCACAGCCGGTTTACAGACGTGCGATAAAATTTTTTACCTAAATCGTGGTAAATTACGTTTTTGACGAGTGTGATTACAGTCCTTGATTTTCGCTCGGATTGTAAACCCTACACCCGTCAAAAATATCTTTTACCAGCCGTTAGGTAAAATTCGATTAGTATTAATTTTATTGATGATAATATTGTTACGGAATCAAATCTCTTAATCTACCGTTTTTCTCTTTTTTACGAAGTAAAAGAAAGTTGATTGCCATTCAACTGATTTCATGTTTTGAACATAAATTCATATGTGATTCATTCTTATTCTGTGGATTAATCCGAAGAACTTTCAATAAGTAGGACTATTGCATTTATTTTGAATTACTAGGGGGCTTCGCCCCCCTGCTCGCTTCGCTCGCCAAACCCGGGGGGCTACGCTCCCTCCCCCACTCGCTTCGCCCCCCCCCCAATCTTCTTAGATTTGTTTAGGTGTTCGCATTGTATAGAAAAAAAATTGATAGAATGATTAACCTCCTTTGCGAAATTGAGATTTTTATTATTCATAAAAGACTCCAACCAATGCTTTTTGTCTTCAGCTCAACCATTCATTTTTCCATTCATTTACATAGAATAGGATGAGGTATACTCTTATTATTTTTTAAGGGTTTGACCGCCATATAATCCCCATATGACCCAATAAGAACTTATAGAGATATAATTATATTAAAGAGTTAGAGATAATAATTCATCTCATCATCACGAACAGATAAGGATCAGACTCAGCAGTGTCTTCTGAATTTTTAAACCTTTTTATTTTTTTATTGTATAGAGAGATAATTTTTTCAAATGCAATAGTAATTATTTATCAACTAATCGACATATATTGAGTGACTGCATAAAATTCACACAAATTTCGGTCAATTTTTACATGTTCAATAAATTAATGTAGGACTGACGTTGATTTTTTACACTTCTTTGATTAGTACACTCCAGTGTATACAGTAGCGTAGGAGTATACTTAGTTACAATAATAGCATAATCAAACGATGATGAAAAAAATTGAATATTCAATGATATTATTGATTCTGCTCAAACTTCTGGAGCATGACACGTGGCGTAGTGAAGAAGGAGTATATTGCTGAAATGTACTGAAACAAAAAGAAACCATTCCCCACGTACTTCCCTACTTTCTTTTCTGAAATCATAAAGCCAGCTGTACCTTTGCATAATACTCCATGAATAATGTCGGCATTAATCCACCGATCGCTATTTTTGGCGGATTTTGACACCTCTGTATCATGAAAATGATAGCTCCATTCAATTTCTTGGAATTTTGAGTCCACGACAAGTTATATAGCGCCCAACTAACTCCTTCGCTCTGAATAATTACAAGAAAAATGAAGGTCCAATTCAAATAAGTAGATGAGTGACGCTAGAACAGCTTACCGCTGCCGTTAAATTTTCTGCGGCCCAAGCAACAGAAAGAAGCTCAAAGCCAGACGCAATTAAGATCGACGCAAGCTGAATTTTTTTAAGGAGTATTGCATTCTACAATAAAGAGGATCATCAATAAATTTCGTTAATAAATTTGTACAATCATTGCGTTTGTGGTTCTTTGATTCTCTTATCAATACAATAATTGCAATGGGATCTCTACTACCACGTGGCTATATGTAATTGAACTCTAATTTTTCCATGAAATGAATGTACATTATCAATTTTATCCTATAATTGCCAATTTTCTAATGCATCCACAGATGATAAATAAGTGAATAAATGAATACATGAAGTCAAGAATAACAATCATCTGTATCATGGACTTACTCCAACGATCTGAATTGCCCCACATACAATGGATATTGTGGCTATTGCGATTATGACTGCTATAACAGGCTGCACAATTTCGATGATTTGTTCAATATACCTTGGAAAAGAAACAGTATAAGAGTAGATAATCAATTTTTGATTGCGTGGCAGAGAATAAGTTCCAGATATCAAGATTTCAATTCGGTTTTGCCTAACACAATCAGAAAATAAATTAATTACTATAGGGCACTGTAAGATACTGAAACTAGTTTCAATGTCTTACAAGAGTGCTCATAAAGATTATACCTTGCGAGGGTCAAGCGCACCAAGGATCATATTTCGCAAAGCTGAACCTGGAGAAGCAAACAAAGCAATTACAAGGGTCCAACAATCATGCGAGCCAATCAGGGGACGCCGGCAGGGTAACCACAAAGGTCTAACGATCATGAATTGGGCGGAATAATCAGAAGACTTCCATTTGATCTTGTTGATCCTCCTGCCTCTGTCGTTTAATCTTTGTTACCATTTACCCCACACATGATGATTCTAGTAAGGTTTGAATCTCGTGAGGCATGAATCGTGATGTTTGATCCTTGCAAGATATGACCCCGGCGATGTTTGACTCTCGCAACATTTGACCCTGGCAAGATGAAATGGGCGAGCCTTCCCACTATTTTACGTGATTTATGACCGTTCTCCTATGTTCCAATTTTTTCACTTACGAAATTGAGACGAGACTGAAAATTTTGAGCACGTTCAAGACCCAGACGAAACAAATTCTGTCCGAATTATGACGAGCCAAAATGATATTTTCTACTCCGAGACTGAGACGAGACCGGAACGATATGCAAAATTTGGATATTTTTCCAGATCGGGACGATGCTCCCCAAGTCTCGTTTTGTCTCGTTTCGTGCTCATCCCTGAATTACCATAATATATATTGATGTATGGAAATACAGTTTTCGAGTCCTTCTGAATCGCTGACTTTTTCAATTTTATCCGAGAGAATTCGAAGCTGAATTGTTCCGTACCAAAGGAGCAGCGACAATTGACAAATGAAGCCACCAGTACAGCAGCATTGCACCCCGTTTATCACTTCCAATATTAAAATCATATCATAAAGAGGATGTTTGTCTACGGGGAATGGATACTCAGCTATATTGGGAAATGGCTGATCCATTACGAAAGGACCACATGTATATGCTAAAGTTGCGGTTAAGCACAGAATATTATATCGAAAGTAGAACGGAGTAACCACTTCCACATTATTCGTGAGTACTTCTCGTTCATAGGAATTTGCATTTTTTACGAAAGTCTCCATCTCGTCAATAATATACTGTCAAATGAATTAAAGATCGAATTAGAATCATCCTAATGCAATAACTTCCTCCCGATGGGTCGGGCAGTTGACGAAAGTCTTCCATTTGGAAAAATTCCCTCTGAATCCTGATGCTTACCTGAAACCGACGAGAATGGTGTTTCGCAATGATCACTAGTACTAGAGTTTGAATTAGACAGAATGCTAAGGATACACTTTCAGTGAATTTGTTGAAACTCGTCCGGTGTTTGTACGCCGTACTGAAAAGTGGGACAGTGCCTGCTACAATGACAATCAAGGAAATCCACCAACATGTTTCGAAAATAATCTCTGTGAGTCGTGTTGTTTTCGATCTTGGAGGCCACGTAAATATAATTCCAGTCATGAATCTAGTCCACTGGATTACAAACTCTGGAGTTAGCTCTTTACCCATAATGATGCTTCGGCTGAAATTAAAGTGAGTTCCAAACATTTCATTAATTACAGCTGATGACCAGGTATTTGTAATCATTGAAATCTTGCACGATTAGTGCAGTGGATGAGGTTTGATATACACTCCAGTAAATATGATGACAGTCACCAATCTTATGAATCTAATGAACATCCATTCTGAACCTATTTGTGAACTGCATGGAGATCGTGAAAGATTTCAAGAAGAGTTTTTTCCAAAGAAATAATCATGATTTGATTGATTACAATAACTTAACTGATTACTCACCAACTACGCTGAGTACGCTATGGTTACGCTTTGATTGCACCACCGAGTGATATCCTGATCACGCATGTCTAATGGTTTGACGCACGAAGAATATTTTCATCGAAATTCTTGACCTCACTCATTCATTTTGCATTGATACTATATGTGGAATGAAGCTTAATGAGAAGTTTCTTAATTAACCCTCTTAACTGAATGACCTTCTCTTAATGACTCCTCTAAAATTTCAGGCACTTTAATTTAATATGTACTTTCTGTATGATTTCATATAGTCATGTAACTGAAACATCGGAACAGTCCACTGTATGAATCAATCGAATCCGGAGATGAGCGGATTGAGTGAGTCATATGGCTAGAAGACTCGAACTCTGTTTAGCTCAATTTTCAGCCAACTTTCAATCAATCATGGGAAGCTTAAGCTCAAGCATGGGAGTGCACAGTTGCACTCATATTAATCAAACAGGTTTCATCATTTGAATATCCACAGATAGAAAAACAGCTATGAACATCAAGCAAAGGCACCAACATATGTTGAAAATAATCTCTGTGGGGGCTTGAATAGGGTTTGAATATAAGATAATTGAAAGGACGGACTAATGCGGAAAACTTTCATGACATCTCAATTCATTTATGATAATACTATGACATGAAATAAGAGAAGATGAAAATCCATTTAACAACAAACTATCAATTTATTAGCAATAATAACCATACTACATTTCATTTACAATAAAATCCAATCCAACTACACCATCAAAAATAGAACGGAAACTTATGCCCATATGTAAATACTTGGTTGATGGCCCTCGGGCGATGGCTTATTGTAAGAGATTTATTTTTTGGTGTATTTTTCTTACAATAAATTTCGTTAAAAATTAAAAAATTAAATTAAAATCCAATGATCCGTTTGTCTTTTGCAGTTCTAGGAAGTTGTGCTTGTAACATTGCTCTGATTTCATTTTTTTTTCACTTTTTCAGGAGTTTTCTTGATTTAACCCATTCCGGTGTCTAGCATTTCTCCACTTTTAGCCATTTTGTAAAAATGTGGGTGCGCCATCATGCGTTTCTAACACACTGCCAATTCGTACCATTCTCCAATTCGCTTTGGTCTAAATGTGCAAATCCTCAAAATGTGATGAGCATTTAGAGGGGATCTGGAGATTGGGGATCAACAAAAATTATATAAGTTAGATGTAACACTGAGTGTTACATGTTTTCTTGGTACGAAATTAAGCATTTAATTATTTGTACAATTCATTCTCGCATATATTAATTTCCATCCAAATGATGAATGGACGGGCAACTCCTTTTGAAAATGACGAACGTATTGTGACCGATTGTCCGTTATATATCAGAAACCTTCCACAAAAATTTACCTTTCCTCTTTTGAACACTACCACTTACACTGACACTAGCACTTAGATTTACTCGCTCATATAAGCCGAAGACGATTCAATACAAAATTATACTATTGCTTGCCCTCAAATTTCTGGAGCGCAATACGTAGAACAGTAAAATACGAATATACTGCTGACATATACTGAAACAGAATCAAATTATTCTCTGAATTGCCCGCTCGGCCATTTTTTTCATTGAAATTATAAAACTTGCTATACCTTTGTATAATACTCCATGGATAATTTAGGCATAAATCCACCGATTGCTATTTCTGGCGGATGTTGACATTTTTGCATCATGAAAATTGCATTCTTGTTCAATTCCTTTGAATTTCCAATTGATGAGGGGTTGTACAGCATCCGACTGACTCTCTCGCTCTGGATAATCACAAAAAAGATAAATTTCAAAGTTGAAGGGGTGAATGGATTATAGCGATGCCGCGAGAGACTTCACAAGACATTACGAGACAATACTTTGGACACATGGTCTCAGTCTCAATGAAAATGCAAATCTTTGTTCTCGTCTTAGTCTCACAAATACGCCACATCGACTCCCCTCGCGATGTCTCCGAGTCATTTATCTCATCTCGGTTTTCAGTTTTTTGCTTACTTTTTATATATGAAATAGACGAAACAAACTGAGATTTTAGATTAAAAAACACGAAAAATTTGAGACCGGGATAAGATGAATTGACTCGGAGTCATCACGAGAGGAGAGGATACTGCGTGATTCGAGACTGAGACAAGATAAAAAAATTTCCATGTTCATTGAGACCAAGACCATCTTTTCAGAGTATTGTGTCGTGAAGTTTCTTGCGGCGTCCCTATTGATTAGGCTAGACTAATCGTTTACCATTGTGTTCATATTCTCTGCGGCCCATGCAATATAAAGGAGCTTCAAGACGTAAGTAGTGTAGTAATGCCGGTTCTGGAGCAACGTTTTTGGCGTCGACCTGGTCGTTGGGGCCCAGTAGGGGGGTCAGATGAAAGTGGGTGGGTGGGTGGTTGATTAATTCGCGGGGTCGCGGTTCAATTCGCGGTTTGATTCGCGGGGTCGCGGTTTAATTCGCGGTTTGATTAATTAATTCGCGATTTTTTCCCTCGAAGTGATGAAACGGTTAATTAATTCGCGCGGTCGCGGTTTAATTCGCGGTTCAATTCGCGTGGTTGCAGTTTAATTCGCGGATTTAAATCGCGGTTTTGATTCGCGGGTTCTTTACTTTAAATACCTGAGGAGGGTCACAATAGTTTGCGGGGTGTACAGTTTTCAAATTCCTGCGATATCAATGAGTCATCACAGGAAGGGGCTAAAAGCAAAAAAAAAAGGTCATAAAAACTTTCACTCTTTCATGGATTCTAGGAAATGATAAGAAGATTAAGGGGGTCTTAAATCATCAAATGCTACCTCTACATTTTTCAAATTCCTGAGATATGAATGAGTCATCACAGAAAGGGTTTAAAAGCAAGAAGGTCATCAGAACTTTCACTTTTGAACGGATTCCAGGAAATGATGAAAAAATTAAGGGAGGTCATGAATCATCGAATGTCACTTTTACATTTTTCAAATTCCTGAGATATGAATGAGTCATCACAGAAAGGGGTTCAAAGGAAAAAGGTCACAAAAACTTTCATTTTTTTTATGCATTCCAGGAAAACAATGGAGGATCATAAATCAATCTATATACATGAGCACACAAACCTTGAAAAATTTTCAGGGGGGTGGGGTGAGGGCTTGATTATATAACGTCTCCATTTCGAGACTCCAGCATCAGTTCACTTTTTCTTGCGCTCATGAGGAGCTACTCTAATCGACAACAACAAACTTTGAAGGGGGATACTATACGTCAACAACAAGAGTTAAAAAACAGACGGTTGCGGCTTAATTCGCGGTTTGATTCGCGGAGGTCGTGGTTTAATTCGCGGTTTAGTTCGCGGTTTGAGTAATTAATTCGCGATTTTTTCCCTCGAAGTGATGAAAGGGTTAATTAATTCGCGGAGTTGCGGTGTAATTCGCGGCTTGATTCGCGAGGTCGCGGTTTAATGCGCGGTTTAATTCACGGTTTGATTAATTAATTCCCGATTTTTTCCCCTGGAAGTGATGAAAGGGTTATTTAATTCGCTGGTTAATCAATTTGATTCGCGGTTTTGCATTACAAAGGACCTTCTCGGTGGAACTAGTCAATCCACCCCGCGAGGAGGTAAGTGAAGGGGTTAATTAATTCGTAGCTGTATAAATCATAGAAGGGGCTCCTCTTCTTCTTCAAACATTGATACCTGGCTCCACTTGACATGTCTGAACTTGACTTTTCCGGTACTTTCTCGTTTGCGGACCCTTTGATGTCCTATCGCACCGCAAAGATTAAATGCAATCCTGGACATTTTTCAGCTATTTTTTTTCCAACGGACAAAAAATGTTGCTATCTTGTTAATAATTTTCCATGAGTCCCATGATTCTTTTTCAACCAATCACGTAAGATTTTACAGAGTGTACAAGCGTAGGCACACCCACATATGTATGTATTTAAACAAATTTCACCTTGATTTTCCGTTAGTTCTTTAGTATCTTTATCATGAACAACATGGATCCTAACGCGTGTAAAANATTTTCCATGAGTCACATGATTCTTTTTCAACCAATCACGTAAGATTTTACAGAGTGTACAAGCGTAGGCACACCCACATATGTATGTATATAAATAAATTTCACCTTGATTTTCCGTTAGTTCTTTAGTATCTTTATCATGAACAACATGGATCCTAACGCGTGTAAAAGATTATTGAGGTCATTGGAGGATGCGTATGAAATAGTGAAAACGAATAGGAGACCCAGGGAAATTCAACAATGGCTTAATCACATCAGAGGACATTCGAAAGAAATTAATGCATTATTGAAGAGGAGTGCGAGTCATAGTGAGAAAAGACGTTTAACTCACATGTTAGGACGACTGAAAGCGTTCTACGCAAGATTCAGAAACTTGGAAGTGCTAGGAGGAGACTTAAGGGGTAATTTAACGGATAGAGTCCGATGGGAGGACTTACAAAGTGTTTTTGAGGGTCGTATGAGAACAGGAGTGATTATTAACGTGAAAAATCCAGACATACCCAAATTTTTAGATGATGCTAGACGAATGCTCTGTGTA